TGGCCCCACACTCACAAGTCCATCACATGGTCCAATCTTCCACTGCCATGCTGGCAGTTCCACCCATCCAGTTCCGGTCAGGTACAGAGGTTCAAAAGACGAAGGATGACCTTGGTTTTCTAGAAAGAATTTTGTTATGGCTACATCACATCTAACTCTGTACAATCCCCCTCTCATTTTCCCACAATAGAAAATGCATAGTAGAATAATAGAAAGTGTGGCAGGCCAAAGATCCAAAAGAAATGATGGCTGCAGGCCTGTCATGATTTAAACCCTATTGTCTAGGGCAGGAGTCTCCAACTTGGCAACTTTAAGACTTGTGGACTTCAACTCCCTGAATTCTTCAGACAGCATGGCTGGTCTAGGATTGCATATAAGTACAGCCAAATACATCTTTATTTGCTTTTGTTTTAGAAACAACTGAAATGGATAACTTTATTTATTTATTTGGTTTATTATTTATTTATTTAATTTTTATTGATTTATTTTATTTTATGTTCTTATTTTCTTTCATATTTCTAAACCTCCTTCCACGCCATGTACAATATAATATAACCAATGAGCAAAACAATGTAGAAAAAGTAGCATTAAAATTAAAAATTAAATTAGGGTTAAAAATTTTAGAATTATAGGATGACAATTAAACATCAAAAGAAGAAAAAAAGTCATAATATGGCCAATTTAAAATTTGATTGTTATAGTCAGGGGGGTTCTCAAGGAACTACCCAGCCACACAGTTGGGATTTTTTCTGTCGTCCCCCCCCCCCACCACCACCACCACAAGGCCAAGGAGTCAAGTTCTGACCCCTTTGTGGAAAGTCAATTGGGGGCTTTCCTCCCTTCTGGGGGTTGGATGTTCAATAAAGCGAGGGCAGCGACTGAGAAAGCTGCCTTCCTAGACTGTGCCAGTCAAAATCATTTGACTGATAGCATACCTTTCCTGCCTGATCAAGTGAGACAGGCTGATGAGATTGGGTGAAGCTCAGGGGTGAAATCTGACAGGTTCTGGAGAACTGGTAGCAGAAACTTTGAGTAGTTCGGAGAACCAGTAGTGGAAAGTTTGAGTAGTTCAGAGATCTGGCAAATGCCACCTCTGGCTGGCCCCAGAGTGGGGTGGGAATGGAAATTTTGCAGTATACTTCCCCTGCCACACCCACCAAGCCACGCTGATCAAGCCACGTCACACCAACCAAGCTGGTAGTAAAAAAAAATGAATTTCACAACTGGTGAAGGTGGATCTGTAGATAACCCTGTCCTATGCCTTGTAGAGCTTTATAAGTGATGGCCAACACCTTGAATTGGACCCAGAAGCAAACAGGTACCCAGTGCACTTCAGTGAGCAATTGGNGGCTGTTGATTTATCCAGCCCATCCTAAGTTATGAATGTTGTGGAATTTTTAATGTTGTTTTTTATTTTTGTATGCCCCCCCCCTTCCCTTTTTATCTGTAAGCCGCCCTGAGTCTTTCGAGAGTGGGCGGCATACAAACCAATTAATTAAATAAATAAATAAATAAATAAATAAATAAATCATGGTTTTGCTAGCTCAGAGCCAACCCACAGTTGAATTCCATGGTGGAATTCATAGACTCCACCACCCCTTTTTAAAGAGAAGATTTAGAGAAGATTGTCCTGAGAAGGAGGGGAAACAGCTTCCTAGGCACCCAGCTTGAAATCCCTCCTTCCCTTTAGCCATGATGAGGTCTCTGCCCACATTCTAGGGTGTGTCTATGGAGATTCTCCCATCATCCAGGTCAAGGTTGTCCCAAAGGTGCTTTTCTTCAAAAGGCAGCTGAATTTTCTTGTTTCTTTTTTCTTTGGAAACATTTCACTTCTCAACCAAGAAACTTCTTTGGTTCTAACTGACTGATGGGGAATGGAAGGATCTATATTCCTTGCAGTCATCCAGTCTTAGCACTCGGAGAGTCATTGAGGCCACTTGGGGGATTGTCTGTATCCTCAGAGTCACCTGAATCAAAGTGAAAACAGGTGTGGAATCTTCTTGGCACTGCTGGAAGGACTGTGCTGTAGACAGGGGATATGTAGGTCCCTCTCTGCTGACAGGGAGCCAGGAATCCAAGGCAGGAAACTGGGAAGTTGAAAGACATGCTGTCTGGGGCAGAATGGGACTGTTCGCCTCGTAACCTTTGCCGCCCCTTGTTCGCTACCAGGATTCCACCCCCATCCATTAACCTCTACCATTTGTCCTCCGCTGCTACGACCCTAGCTATTTGCGCTGGACAATGGGCCCCAGCCTTTCCCGTTCCAGAAAACAGAAAACAAAGGTTTTCTAGCTCGGACCCAAGGCAACTGGGTGAAGGAACAAACCCCCAAAGAGGAAACTCGACACGGAACACTTTCTCCCTCCCTCCCTCTCTTTCCCCCTTCCCTTTCTCTGATTGGCTTTCGTGCACCCAAGCCCAGGATGAACAGTATTTCACCGAAAGGGCCATGATGAAGAGCCTGGGACAGATATGGCTGGGGCCCATTGGCCAGCACGAACAGCTAGGGTTGTATCAGTGGAGGACAAATGGTAGGGGTTAATGGCTGGGGGCGGAACCCTGGTGGCAAACAAGGGGTGGCGAAGGGTACCAGGCGAACAGGCCTAGACCAGTCTGGGGAGGGGGAGAATGACTTTCTCTGTCACCTGATGGTTCTGTTCAGACTGTTGGGGGAGCAAAGACTGTCCCAGGGACCATACTACATACACTAATCTGAACTAACATGCTCCAGATGGACAACAGTTGGCTTTACTTCTAAACACAACCAACGCAAATCAACACATTCGGCTTGCTGGCTTTATTGGAAAACATCCCTCACCTCCCAGCCCCCCCCCCTCCCCAAAAAAGCACACAACTTCAGGATGGGACAAAGTGTCAATGTGTTGGGGTTTATATAACAGAGAAATTGGTAATCAATTAGAAGAGCCAGAGTCTTAAAACCATAGAAATGTGTGCTGAAAGGCGCCAGAAGCATCATCTAGTCCAACCCTCTGTGATGTGCAGGAAAACGGCTTAATCCATCTGGCTCTCCTGGCACTTAAAAGGAGTTGGAGATTGACTGCTCCACTCTGTTGTAAAGGAGACTATCATACATTTCTTCCATACATTTAAACGAAGTCTAGGGAGCTGCAACTTATCCCTTTCATTTCTGATTCTGGATGCCCTGGGAATGGAAGAGAATTTCTGACCATTTTCCTTAGGCCGTATCCGAACACAGGTATTCTGTCTCCCCTCCATCTTTGCAGACAGTCTCCATATCCCCTTAGTTGCTCTCATCTGACTCTCCTTGGGTTGGGGGGGGGGGAGAAGAAGAGGGACTTCCTCTGTATGGCTCCCCTGCAGCACCATGGTGCCATCTAGGTGGGCCTTTTGGGGTGCTGGGCTTACCTGCCCTTGAACAAGCCAAGTCCTGACTGTAATGTCCTCTTCCTTTGGCCTCTCTGCTTCCAGCGGTCCTTCTGCAGCGCCATGGCTGAGGAGATTCGGCTGTCCCTCACCTGCCAGCAACGCACGAAGCACAAAGCCCAGCCTCCCCTCATGGTGAAGACTGACGCCGTCATCAACATGCACACGTTCAACAACCGGCGGCTTCCCAGCAAAGACAACCTGGCCTGTAACACGGGGTTGACCCCAGCCTTCCCCTAGCCAGCAGAAGGGTGAGGACTGGGGCACCGAGGAAAATGCTCCCTGGAAGGACGGACTCAGAGCAGGCCGCCCCACTTCTGCAGCCGGGGATCTTACTCTTCCCTTGCAGGCCTCGCAACAGCCAGCCTCCCCATTCCTCACCTGGACACCTCCAGGAGTCTCGATGTTTACATATCAAGAAAATGTAAAAGACAAAGCAGGCACCTCCCACCATCTGAGTTCTCGGATCCCGCCCTTTGGATTAAGTATGGCAATAAGCAAAAGGGCCTTGGGTCAGGAGATACATGGAGCCCTCCATGGACCAGAGGCTTCAGAGGCAAGGGAGCGGAGGGGGGAGGGCAAGGGAGGGGTCCTGTCCAGAACAACCACCCTTGCTGGGAGATGTAGAACTGTGTTTTTTGACTCCCTGCTGGGCTGAATGATGGTTCCTCAGGAAGAGCCCCTTGGTATGGCATGTAGGGTGAGGGTGATGCTACAGGAACCCTCCCTTCTCCAGACGGAAGGTGTGGGGGTCCCTTAGCTGTCAGGACATGCAACAAGGGGACAGAGCACACCATGGCAGGTCAACATGGTCCTGCTACCATGGAGAGGAATTCTCTTTGCCGGGTTCTGCTCAATCCAGTCGCCAGATCCAGCTGGGCAGAGTTCCCAGGAAAGAAACATGCCAACATCTGCAAATAGGAAGCAATGACAATGTGGATTTTGGGGGGGGGGGGTGAACAGGGGACAAGGTTGGGCATTTGAGAGCTGTAGGATCTAGTGACATTCCATACATGTGGATGAACATTCCCCCACGCTGGCAGCAGTGGCAAGGCCTCTGGCCGAAACAAGTGCATGGATGCCCCTGGTTAGCCCCTCTGGGCACAGTTCCTGAAAAGTGGCATAGTGCCCAAGGATACATTTCAAAGTAAGGTCCCAGGTAATTTCCAATATTTGAGAGGCTGTCACAGAGAAGAGGGGGTCGGCCTATTCTCCAAAGCACCTGAAGGCAGGACAAGAGGCAACAGATGGGCAACTTATCAAGGGGATCCAACCTAGAATTAAGACCTGGGTTGCCAGAAGGCTTCTCCTAGTCGTCCCTAGCTGTTCCCAAAGGATGAACTGATTCCAAAGCTTGGCCTTGACCAGGCACCACGGAGAGCACATGGTTTGCATTTTCTTCCAAGCAGAGTTTTTCTCTCCCAATGACCAAAGACCATCACCCCCTGCCATCTGGAAGGAGTCAGGGGTGAGGCTGCTCTTCCCCACCCTCCCCTTTATAGAATTGCCAAGTGTAGATTCTGTGCCATCCCCTGGCCTGGGAAGTTACTGGTAGAGAAAAGGCTGGATGGTGTAGTGGCAGCCAGAGCCAGATGACACAGTTTTATTCGACATCAGCAATTAGCATCAAGCATCTCTTACTAAGCTTGCCACATTTCTGGAACTAGTACCTGTCCGAGCTGAAAGAAGTTCAAGAAAAGCATGCCTGGGAAGGCATAAGCTTCCCTCCATCCCTCTGAATCCTCGCATCAGTGGATGGCAAGAGGGAGAAAGTTGTTTCAAGGCTGTCCTCTAAAGTGCCTTTTGAGAGCTGTCCCCTTGACCCCTTCCACAGCCTCAGCTTCACCAAGGTCACCCGAGAGGTCTGGCCGCAGCAGGTTCAGCTGGCCCATTAGCCGCAGAAGCAGAGCTTGGCCGGAGACACGTCAAGAGTTCTGTGGAATCCTTGACACTCTCAGAGCCTGTTTCTTTGCTTGCTTGCAGATGCGTTGTTGCCTACTAGGTAGCATCATCGGTGCCAGTGAGCGTGGGTTAGCTCCCTGTTGATGTACGGCAGCTTGCTGACACCAACAGTCTGTTCTCCTTTTCCTGCTCCTCCAGCAAAGGTCTAGCATGCCAGACTGCAACCAGAGATATGTCATAACCCAGGGGTTGAGGTGGGGGGGCTGAGCTGGGTCCAGCCTCTTTGGGAAACAACAGGCTGGGAGAGAGTTCGAACATAACTGCAGCCCAGGGAAGGATTTCAGTACCCCCTTCCCATCTCATTTCAGCTCCGAGCAGCTGCTTTCAAGCTGGTGAAGAAAATACTCCCAGCCTCTTCCTATCTTGGGTAACTTTTATCAGCAGTGATGGCAGGAGGTAATAAAAGGGAGCCAAGAGTTTGGGAATATTTATTAAGATGTTCAGTCCCATCCTGAAAGAGAAAATATTTGACTAGGAGAACATTAAATCTTTTAGCTCATTTCAAACGGCCTCTTGGGACCTTGAAAAAAAGAAAATGGAATGGGGGCTTCTCCGTCCTGTGAGGAGGGGGGTCTCAATGCAGAAGAGGAGATGAAGGATGCTCCTTAGGTTAATCCAATCTCCCCAGAGAGTCCTTTTTGTACAGCACTGAATGTGGTGATAAGTAAAGCCACTTCTGTATATCCCTTTCATTTACTCATTCTTAATTACCAATTCGTTTCTCCCGCTCCAAGAAACACTCATGGTTCAGTACATCAGAACACAGCTCTTTTAGTTATCACAGAACCCTTTCGAAAGACAGGAGCTCCTCTCTTTGTTTTGTGTTTTGGTTTGGCCAAGTTATGCTCATCTAGAAGAGCTCCCTTAATCTGATCTCTGAAATGTAGGTGAAATGGACTCCTTTTCTTTTCAGTTTTAAGCATGGCAGCAAGCTCTTTTCTTTTCTGCTGTCTTTCACCCTTCCCAACCAGTCTTCTTATGCAAGTCTTTTCGTTTTGTGTGTGACGATGAAGAGGAGACTTCCAAAGGTTGAACTTGGAGGAAAGACCATCAGAAGAGGTCACCTGCCCACTGAGGGAGACCAGGCATCTGAATCAACAACCACTTCTGTTTTTTCCAGCTTTCTAAGAAGAAGAACTAAAAGTAAATGCGAGGTATACCTGAAGACCATGTTTCTTACACGAAGCGTTGCTGGCTGAATGTGAATAGAGAGCCGTGGAGTGTCTGTTCCTCCATTAGAGCAGCTGAGCTTTTCCACAGCTGAGACCCAGGCCAGGGCAGTGCCCTGGAAGTCTAAGATAGCCCACCTGCTTCCCTTGGCAGCCAGCGAATGCTGACCCACCAGACCAGACGTACAAGGCCCTCCGTCACCTTCAACATCTTGGCTAGAGGAAGACCAAAAAGCTTTGGCTTTGGACATTGAGCTGTTGGTCTACCACAGACGTTGCTGTGCAAGACCAGTTGCAAAAGTGCACATGCTCCAAACTCACAACCATGCAACTCATTCTTTACCCTTAGTAGGGCTTCTTTGGCTCTCGAACAATGTCTCTGCACAAAAAGAGTCTATTTGCAGTGATTTTTGGGGATGGCAACTGAACTGCCCTTCCATCTTCCCTCTCTGGACTGATTTCCTAACAACAGCCACAGAACTGGTCTCTGTGACATTCAGGGGGAAAATTTCTTTGTGGACATGCAGAAATTTCTATAAATTTAGTTTTTTGTAAACATTTTGTAAGAATTTTGGTTTCATAGTAACTGTGTTACTTGCAGATCATTCTAGGGAGATGTAAATAGAATTTCAAAAAAGAACAATTTAAAGTTTTAAAAGAAACAAAAATGATTATTTTCCTTTTTAAGACACTGTGATATATCAAGTGCACAGTTTTGCTGTATGCGGTAACATTGTTAAAATTTTAAATAAAACATTTCTACAAAAGAAACCTCCAAACATTTTGCATCTTTTAATTTAGAAAAAAAGCTTAAAAGAAGCCACAATGTCTGCAAGAGAAAGAGTTGGACTACTTTATGTGCCAAAAAATAATAATAATCCTCCATTGAACGAAAAATCACCAACAGGAACTTAGATGAGATGGGAGAAGAAATAAAAGAGGAACAGAAACAGAATCAGGAAATTGGCAAACATTTTCTTTGCAATCAAGAGATTTAAACACCATTAAAGTAACAAAAAATTTGTTTTAATAAACTTTTGAAAGGGCCAGATTCTTCCTTTTTTCAAGGAGCTTGTTATTTGCAAGGGACTAAGACCCGTACAAGGAGAGGCAGTTTTGTGTAGTGGTTAAGGCATCAAGCAGGGAACAACAAGACCATGAGTTCCTGTCCCTAAGCCAGTCACACTCTCCCAGCCTTAGAAGGCTGGTAATGGCAAACCATTTGCCAAGGAAATTGCAGGGACTTGTCCAGTGCGTCAACAGGAATGAAGACTAAATAAGGAGTACCAAAACAACAACAAAACTCTGTACAACCACATGGAATATGCACATACATTTGGTATAACAATCCTTTTTATAATAAATATGTAAATAAATATATAATCTAATTTCCACATCCCTATCTGAATATTTGAAAAAAAATCTAACAGCAAGCTTGGTTTCTCTAAGCATGCTAATAGGCTAATTCTGCCATTAGCGTAATTGCATATGGACTATGAAGTTGTAAACTAAGTTGTGAACTTTATCCAAAATCCTCCCAAAAAACAGCTTTGCCACCACTCCCAAATACTTGAAAAGTTCCAATTCTTTGAGTTTAATTTTTGTAGGAATCAACTTCAGTTCTAAACCTAAACTCTGCATTATTTTTTGGGAAGCCTTGTATCTTGAAAATTATTCTAAAAATATTGTAAACTGGGCCCATCAACCAGAAGTGAGGCTCCTTCCCTTCTAAATTTGTTCTTATTTGGAGAGTCTCCAATCCTGTGAGGTGAATCTGTGAGAGGCTGAACCTAAAGATGGGGATGAGTGAAAACCTTGAGCTGTGGCAAGAACCAGTAGACACACCTTGAAGATGGCCTCTGGTTTGCAACAGAATAAAGAATGACTTCTCTGCACGAGAGGATTGTCCACTGGCATTTAGGGAGTGGGAACAAGTTTTCTCTGTTGTTTTAAGTGCAAGGTTATCCTGTGGAGGCAATTCATACATTCAGCTACAAGCTGTCAAAGGATAGCTTTCATTTCAGTTGTTCCATAATTCACATAGTCCAATTATGATAAGCCTCTAAGCATCCGTGAGGTGAGGTGAGATTGGGTTCCCCAACTTCTCTACAACTTTCAATAGACACAAGCTTTTGCACAAAAGAAAC